TAATATAAAAAGTTTGCCAAGTTTCAGCAATAGGTACTTGATTTGAAAATAAAAACAAACTACTGAATACAGGTGGATGAATGCTTCCGTTCGCAACCAATTTGGGTGACAAGCAAAGGTTTTTACCTCTGGTCGTGAACGGGTGTTCGGGTGGTGACCAAACACAGGTACAGTGATTTGCTGTTCTGCACCAACTCCCCCTTCTGTGCTGCACCATTTCCCCCCCCCCCCCCCGCACATGTGCTTCCCGGGATGTCAAAATCGGGTGACAACCAAATTCTTGTAACGAATTATGGTCGTCATCTGAGATTCCACTGTATTCTCTTTTAGGCTGTTGCAGACGTTTGTTGATTAAAAGGATTTTATGCACGTAAGTCCTTAAACTGGAACTTGTTCCTATCCAGTAATAGAATTCTGTAATTTATGACTATAAGCAGGATAATCTCTTGTAACACCTCATGACTCAACCCAATACAAAGCACATCTCCTCTTAATAGAAACACATACATTTTCTTTCAAAAGATGATTAAAAAACAAAAGTTACCGGTAACTACTAAAGCAGCATTTATTTATTTATTCTATTTATATCCCATCTTTTCTTCAGGAGCTGAAGATGCTCTACAACAGGGGTATCAAACACAAGGTCCACTGGCGGATCTGGCTCATGGGGTGCTTAGATCTGGCCCACAGGGTCACCGTGGAAACAGCACAGATGCCTCTGCCAGCAAAAACGGAGCTCGGGAGGGACGTGTGAGGCCCTCCCGAGCTCTGTTTTTGCTGGCAGAGGGTTTCAGGAGACCATTGCAGCCAAAAACAGAGCTCAGGAGCTCATTTTCACTGGCAGAGTCCTTGGGCCACTATAGGCACCCCAAACATGAGTGACATTGAGCTGGCCATGCCCACCCTGGCCATGCCCAAGCCAACCCCGAGTTCAAACACAACCCTGACGTGGCCCTCAATGAAATCTAGTTTGACATCCCTGCTCTACAACACTATTTCTCAGTTTCAGCAATTTTAGGATGAATTGATTTCAACTTCCAGAATTCTCCAGCCAACAACACATATTAAGGTTGCTGAGTTTGACAAACATTAATTTACATAATATTCAAATATTTCTCCCCCACAACAACAATCCTGTGATGTAGATTGGACTCAAAGAGAGTGGCCAGACTAAAGCCACACAGTAAGTTCCAGGGCTGTGGGATAGGCTTTTAACCATTACCACCTCCCACACTTGCTATGGTAGCAGACTTTGCACCACAAAACTTAACAGCCTTCATACATCTAACATTGAAAAACATCATAACAAAGGGAAGCATCATGGGGACATAGCAAGGGAAAAAATGCTTTGAGATCCTATTTGTGCCCTATTTATGAGCAACTGAGGATACAGCCCACAACCCTTTCTTCCAGCTATTTAAATAGTCATTTAGAAGGAACTCCTAGAACTATGGAGAATGGTTGTGGAAGCGGGCTCAATGTTACTGTGAATATTTGATTCTGTTAATGTAGTCTAAATCAGTAAAACCTAGTTTTGGTCTTCTTATATGGTCAGTTTCCTGATCTGGACAATCTTAAAGCTCTGACAACAACCTTGCACCATGAAGCGTTCAATGGAGAAGCATCTGCATTATTCCACACACTAACTCTTATAATGCTTTTCAGGATATTAAGAACCACAGAGGCTGCAGGATTGATTTCAACTTTTCAGAGTGAAGTTTCAAACAAACGGTGTAGGTTTTGATTAAACTTTTAGTAGATTGTGATAGCTCTAATACGTTTCATTGAATATACACCAGCTCTCCAGATAGTCTCTTTTAGAATTCCCATAATTGCATTATATTTAACTCATGGGCTATGGCGGGGGGTGGGGGAGAATAATCCTGTTGAAGATACATATAAAATGCATTTGTTAGATTTGTACCCTGCCTTTTTTCCAGGAGTTCAAGGTGGTGTACACCCTATTTTCTCCTATTCAGCAATATCCTTAGGAAACCACAATTGTGCCCAATTGACAAGTGACATCATTATGCAAATGCTGCAGCTTACATATTTGTGTCAGATGCCAGGTTTCAAGTTGCATTCAGAGGTCTGACAAAGCTATGCAAGTCATGTCATACACAGGATGACATAGTTGCACATGTTTTGCCAATTGCTACCCCTCCCTTGCTCCTATTTTTTTCTCCAACCAACTATGGGCTAGGTTTGACTAAGACAGAACTACTGATTGAAGAGACCCAAGTCATAGGTGAGCTTCCATTGCTAAGAGTAAACTTCAGTCCAAGCCCAAAACCTTAACCACTATGCCATACGGGTTCTCTTCTAAAGCCTACTTTAAAGGGATTTCCTAACTTTCTGTCTCAATCATCTATTTTGCAATGGATGCACCTAATCGAAGCAAATGAAATATATTTGGCCATTGTTAGTTACACGTATTGTTAGTTACATTGATTTTGAAAGGAAAGCTGTTTTGGCGCAAATATGGGTGGGCTTGGTATATCAGTTGAGGTCTTCTTCAAAAAACCTATGGTTTTTCCTGAGCAAACATAATAGCTGTGCATCACAGGAACATGCACATTAGGGAGTTAGGGATGCTGCAATAAGATGGCATCCCTGATGGAAATGTCATCTTCCTGGTATTGTGGGGCCACTCTGTGAACTCTAGGAAAGGTGTAGCCTCTTTAAGGAGGTACCCTATGTTGCATGAATGCATTCACATTCCTTCTAAAGCATATTCTCCACTTTGGTTCTAAATAGCTGCATATTGCTAACGTTTATGAATGAATGACATTATGAACTATAACGCAGGTCTATATAAATATGCAAACAGAGCTAAATACTAATTCTTACTAATCAACAAACGCACTACAGTATAGATTTTAACTGCTTTATAATTTCTACAGGACCAGGCTACCATATCTTCCTGCTTTTCTAAAATTGGGACTATACATGCAATAATAATCACAAGAGATTTCTATATTGACAGCTATGAATTGGATCCAGTGATCTGCTCTAAGATAAAATGTAGTTTGTCCAATTGTGATTTATTATGTTATATAAGGCCAACCAACTATGTTTTATATAAGGCTGAACCTAAATTTTAATTCAACTCAGTACAATATAAGCAGAAAATTCTTGAATCCCAAGTTTTCATATTGGCTGATCGGCAATATAGGTTTTGTTAATCAATACAGTTTGCTTTTCTGTCTGCGTCTTATCTGTCAAAATCTGACCCTTCTAGAGAAAAGTTAACAGGCATGAGCTGAACTAATGAACTGTAAACTGCCCAGAATCACTTAATGCGCTGGGCAGTGCCTGGATCAGTACTATGCCATCCACTCATGGTTATGATTGTTTTAATGCCGACAATTGCAAGATCCTTTGGCTGGGCAGGTAGTAGAACCTAGATGACCTTGTCTATGATGGAAGCTAAATAAATCCAGGCTTATAGTCACCCACGAATTCTATGGCTCCTGGCGGGTGGGGGGGTAGTTGGAAAAACGAAGGAGCCAATGGCACATGGCTTCCAACATGCCAACAAGAATAACTACAAGAATACATTCACTAGAAATTGAGTTTGACTGAAGAGCATCTTTTATTTTTAATCCAAATTACAGATTAGGAATAAAACAACAGAGACAACATAGTTTCAATTACTTATTGCAGAAAAAGTGCATATTTGTTTTGTTTCTTTCCTATATCCTATTATAGTCTTCATTTCTGCACTTTGCATTCATTTATGTAAGAAAACCAGCTATGAGATAGGTGCTACAGCTTCCTATCACAAATGTTTCTTCTGTCTCTTGTGAAAAAAAGAATCTCATGAGTTGAACTTCACCTCTGGAACTGGTACACATACAATAACTTTTATGAAAACCTGGAAATGTATATAGTAACGTAAACCAAAAATGGCAGTATATAATTTTAGAAGTATTTTGGGATCATGGATGCAAACATTATTATATGCAAAAATAAAAAATTTTGTTGGACAAGGGGGTGACTTTAAAATGAAAATAATTCATTTAAAGTTTAAGGAATTCCATTACACAAACTGAAGAACAATCAATGTTAAAAAAAAATACTTTCTATAGCATCACAAACTAAGAAGTACTTTAGGCCACTCTCCTTCATTGCCTTGCAGGTAAACTTTCAAACTGTTTCATCCCTGAAACAAAAATGATTCCAAACAATATATGTTGGAAAATATACTAAAATAAACTTCCTTTTATGTATTATTTTCCGATGTCAAGAAATGGGATCTTTTTCATAAAGAACGTTGTAGGTGTTGCTAACATATTGTATCAAATCAGTAATTCTAATTATCACCCTATCTAATTATCACCCTATTAATTTTCGATGCTTAAAAATTGGGTTAAATGCCTTAAGTTGATATTGGTGAAAAGAATGAAAAGATTGCATAGTAAACTATCATTGCTTTCTTCTAAAAAGATGAAATAAAAATACCAATTTGCTGAGTTAGATAGCATCACTACTTTATCCAGCTAATAATTACAACTCAAGCAACACATTAAAAATTACATAACAACATTACAGTCTGATTCTATTTATGACTATTAAAAATTACATGCTCTTGGGACTGGCTCCTTAAGATTTCTGTTTTAATAACTTGTAAGAAAAGCCAAGATTTCATAGAAAAGACTTCTTCCGGTCTTCCTGTTGCATATGAATCATGAGAAGACTTCCATTTTTCCAAGAAACCAAACACAACTACGTATTGAAACACTTACGTATAACTATTGTTGTTACCAAAGAGGAGAAAAGACTTGATTCAATTTGGTGGAATGAACTTCTACATATCTGATAACTGAAAAATCAATCCTTAATGTATAAAATGATAAGCACCTTAAATAGCCCTTTTGCAATGCAAAGTTTATAAATAAAACTTTTCACAGTTCTGTTCATCATTATAATATAGAAACATGGAAAAGTATGCATAAATTGTCCTTTTTTTAAAAAAAAAAACTGTTCCAAGTACTTACTGTTACTTGACTTGAGGTCTCTGTGAAGTATGGGAACGATGGCTTCTTCATGTAAGTAAAGCATCCCTCGAGCAATTTGTACTGCCCAGTTGACTAATATATGAGGAGGGATGCGATGGCCCCAGTGGCTCCCACTAGCGGTGGGGAAAGTACCTGACAAAGCTCTATTGAGGGGTCCTCCCCTGGCAAATTCCATAACTAGACAGAGGTTGGGTTCCTGCAAACTTACGCCGTGAAGTTCAATGATATTTGGATGTTTCAACATGGAAAAGAACTTTGCTTCCTGCCTCACACTCTCTGCTGTGGCCATGATGTCCTCATCTGGATCCTGCCGGGCTGCTTTCACTGCAACTTCTTGGCCTTTCCATATAGCTCTATAAACTTTACCAAAGCCTCCAACTCCAATAATCTCTTGTAGTTCCAGATGCTGGAAGTCAATCTCTGCTAGAGAACCCATATGGTCTTTGTGATCTACAGGTTGCCCATCACCTGTGGCCAGGTTTTGGGTTTGATGCCCAGTCTTCTCCAACAATCCTAACTGGGGATGTTGGTAACAGCCTGGCTGGTAAGTCACGTAGTTTGCTGGGAAGATGCCAAGACGGTGATGGATTTTACCTGCCCACCACCCATCATCTCCAGACACGGCTGCGTCTTTAGACAAAACTTCCACCATTTCCCCTCGACGCAAACTCAGTTCATCTTCTCCAGTGGCTTCATAGTCATACAACACTGTCCACAGTGGGCAAGAGTTGGTACTGGTCCCCAAACTCCCTTCAGCTGTTCTCTCAGAGCGCAGCAAAGCCATGGTCAAGATACAGGGACTAACCACATCAGCTGCTGCCTCAGCATTTGACCCAAAGGTGCTTTATCAAGAGGCAACTGGACTTTCTGGCTTTTCTTTGAAGAAGTTTCGCTTCTCATCCAGGAAGCTTCTTCGGCTCTTCATTCACGAAATTGTTACTGAAGGTAATTTTTCCCGATTTCAGGCAGGCATAAAAGTGCTAGGAAAGGAGTGAAACCAAGCAAAAAGAAAAGAGACCCCTGGTTAGGCAAGGGAGGGGGGATTGGAGTCGAAATCACAGCAACTGGTTCAGACATTGGGAGCGCACAGGCTTAAAGGCAAGAAGCTGAGTTATAAAAGTGATGAGAGAGAGAGGCAGGAGAACACAAGGTGACGACGAGGGAAAGAGTGAAGGAGTCAGAGAAAGAAAAGCACAATCCAGACGTATATTAGAGCGCAAGGGAAAGGACCGACGGCAAAGCAGGAAGTGATCAATGGGATTCAAGGCAAAGGAAGTTTGTGCGGCGTGATTGACACGGAGCCAGGAGAAAAACGGCCCGAAAGAACAAGAAAACAAGCAAGGGGAAATTAAAGCGGAGATAAAAATGGGGGGGAGCGGGGGGGCGGAATGCAATGTGGGAAGTGGGAGGAGGGGAGGGAAGAAGCAGGAGGAAATCACAGCGGCGATTGCAAAGGGGAGCAGTCCGAGGGGGCCCAGGTGAGAGAGAAGGGAGGAGACGGGCGATGGGAGAAGCCACAGGTAAAGCGCTGGCGGGGAAAACGGAGACCGCGGGCGATCCGAAGCGGCCTCAGCGGCGTAAGGCAACGCCGCCGTCCACACTACCGCCGCCGCCCACACCGCCGATCGAGCGCTTCTCCCGGGTCTTCTCAGCAAACCCTCCTGCCGCCGAGAGCAGCTCCCCGAACCAACTTTACTGGCCGGTCCGGATTGGACGGCCGGGAGCACGTGACTGCCGAGGCCAGGCTCCGGGTGCGGGTCAAAGAGTGAAGTCGTGCAGGTGCGTGCCTGGCTGTGGTCGTGGGGAGTGGGGGGGGCGGAGGGTGTTTCCCCCTCCCCCTTTTCCCCCCACCGTCACGGATGGCGCCAGTGCCAAGCACCAAACTCCCCCCCCGGGCGCCCTCGGGAAAGGAAGGGCCGTCGGCAGAAGCAGAGACGCGGCAAGGCGGAAGGGGCGGTGGCCAGGCTGTTGCAACTTGTTGCGCGCTTTTAGCCGCGCGCGCTCCTTTGCAAAGGGAAAGGCCGGGTGGCGATGAATGAGGCGGCGGGGCTTTTGCTTGGGAAAACCGTGGGGATAGTATTGTTTTTAAGCCTTGAGCCAATGCCAGGTTTCCTTTGTTATATCAGCCGCTAGGCACTCGTGGAACGACGGTTACTCGTTCTGTAACTCCTATGCAGCTGCTCTTCCCCAAACATTAGGGGACTGGAGATTAAGGCATATGAAGAACGGTTGCAGGGACTGGGCATGGCTAGTCTAGTGAAGAGAAGGACCAGAGGAGATATGATATCAGTCTTCCAGTGTTTGAGGGGCTGCCACAGGGAGGAAGAGCTCAAGCTAGCTAAAGCCAAGCAAGGCATAATGGATGGAAACTGAACAAGGAGAGATTTAACCTGGAAATAAGGAGAAACTTTCTGACCGGGAGAACAATCAACCAATGGAACAGCTTTCCTTCAGAAGTTGTGGGAGCTTCATCACTTGAGACTTTCAAGAAGAGATTGAACTCCCATCTGTCAGAAATGGTGTAGGGCAGTGGTTCCCAAACTTTTTCAGCCCACCGCCCCCTTGGTGCTACAAACTCATCCTTGGTGCCCCCCCCCCCAGGGGTGGGATTCAAATTTCTGTGAGCGTGGCCTAATTTGAGGGCATGGCTTGCTGGTCACGTGATGGTAGATTTGGCTTGCCGGCTGGGTGTGGCTTGCTGGTCACATGATCCCGCTAGGTGTGGTTTGGTGGTCATGTGACTGGGTGGACGTGGCCAGGTGACTGGCAGACCAAATACAAGTAGTACTCACTTAATGGTCGGTTGTTTAGCAAGTCTTCTAATTTATGACTGGCCTCCCCAGAGCTACTTGACCTGTTTTTGGAATTTTGACAGCCATGCACACACATGCACACATACTCCCTTCCAACCCTGCTGGAGCAGGTCATTGGATTAGAATCGGCAAAGCATCTCTGATTAGATTCTAGTAGTGAATAGAATCTAATCAGAGATGCTTTGCCGATTCTTGTTTTATTTTTATTTCTTTATTTTATTTTTATTTTATGTTGCCGAATTGCATTGACATGTGTCCCTTCTTGTGGACAATCCAGAAGCTTTTGTGATTCTTTGCAGCAAAAATTACCGACCTTTGGCTTTGCTCGACTTTTCAAACGTGCTGCCACTGCTACATTCTAGGTGCTGGCCCCGCATGTCTACCCCATTGAGCCTGCTGCACCGGAGGGACCTGCCCAAGTCTGAGCGAAGCGGTGCACCAAGTCAATGGGGTGAGCCTGAGAGATGGAAAGAGAGAGAGAGAAAAGAAAGAAAGAGAAGGAAGAAAAGAAAGAGAAAAGGGAAAGAAAAAAAAGGACAAAGAAAGAGGAGGAGATGGAAGGAAGGGACAGAAAGAAAAAGAAATAAAGAAGGAGGGAGGGAGGAGAAAGATAATGAGATATCTATTCTAATCCAATCACCTGCTCCAGCAGGGTTAGAGGAGAGTGTGTGTTTGTGTGTGCTCTTTGTAATTTACCAGTACGTTTTGGTTTTGCCTTCTTCAGAATTGGCACTGTAACACATTGGGGAAAAGTAATTTTTTAGGGTGGAGATCTGGTCCAATGGATCCTGTTTAAAGCCTCAACAAAATGTGAGAGCTTCCGGATAGTCTTGACCATGTTTCGTCCACAAAACCTTTAATAGAAACCAAAGAGGTTTCAATATGCTGGCAAAGATGTTTCAATGTGGAAAAGGGCCTCAGTCTAAACTAGGTCTCACTTCAATCTGATGCATTAGGTCTCTCTCTTTCTCTCTCTCTCTCTCTCCCTCCCTCCTTCCCTCCTTCCCTCCCAGACTGGCTTTGCTCTACCCTCCCAGACTGGCTTTGCTCTACTTTCCCGATGTGCCTGCGGGGCCGGCATTTTGAACATGGATGGATGGATGGATAAAGAGAGAGAAAGAGAGAGACAGGTAGGTAGGTAGATATATTGGTAGATAGGTAGGTAGGCAGGCAGGAAGACAGACAGACAAACAGACCTTTTAGATAGATGTATGGGTGGGGTAGGTAGGTAGGTAGGTAGATAATTAGGTGGATGGATGGATGGATGGATAGATCTTTATTGGTAGGTAGATAGGTAGGTAGACAGACGGGCAGGTAGGTAGGTAGGCAGGAAGGCAGACAGACCTTTTGGATGTATGGATGGATGGATAGACAGACAGATAGAGAGAATGCGACAGCGGTGGCACTTTGAGAAAGTAAAGCAAAGCTGCCACCACCACATTTGAAGCACCGGCTCCGGAGCAGTGCACCAGTCAATGGGGTAAGCCTGCAGTGCCAGCACCTCAAACGCCCCCCTGCTGCCTTTTTGCGCCCCTCTGATGGCCCCCTTGGGGGTGCTAAGAGGCAGCAGGGGGGCGTTCGAGGTGACGGCAATACAGGCTCACCCCATTGACTGTTGCACCGGTGAGCCTGCAGAGCCAGCGCGTCAAACGCAGTGGTGGCGTGTTGCAAAAGTAGAGCAAAGCTGCCTGCCCTGGGCCTCCTCAACCCTGCCCTGCTCCAGGAAGGAAGGAACAGCGCCGCCCTCTACAATGTGAGTGCCCCGGGAGTGGGGGGCAGCTTGGGAGGCTGTTCCCTGGCGGGAGGGCAGCCTGTGAACTTGCTGTCAGGCACGGCAACTACAAAGAGGGGCTGGCTTGGCTGAGTGGGATCCTAGATATTGGGCATGTGGTCAAAGCTTTCTCTGCCTCCCCCTAGGTGATCCACGGATGCCATTGACTGTTGCACCGGAGCGGTGCATCGGAGCTGCCGCATTCGAGGTGTCGACTCCAGAGCAGTACAACGGTCAATGGGGTGACACTGCAGGGCTGGCGCCTCAAATGCCTCCCTGCCGCCTCTTAGCTGGCCCCCTTGCCTCTTAGCAAGGCATCCCACCGCCCCCCAGGGGGTGGTACCACTCACTTTGGGAACCACTGGTGTAGGGTCTCCCGTTTGGATGCGGGGGGTTGAACTAGATGACCTGTAAGGTCCCTTCCAACTCTGATTATCTGTTATCTGTAAACATCTTTAAAAAGTTGTATCAGATGGGTCGGCATCTGGAATATCCTGCATGATGCTTACAGGCATCAATTTGCCCATTGACACTTGCCAGGATCTTTGACCTGCATTTTGAATATACTCCTGCCTGTGTCCAGCAACTCTCAAAAAAGTTTGAGGTCCCCTGCTCTGAATCTTGATGAACTGCAGTACCCAGCATTTTCACCACTGATCATCCTGGCTGAAATTCTTGAAATGGTCTTTTAGCAACCCTTAAAAAAAAAAAAGCCAATGGTCTCCCACTCCTTGGACTAGAACTGGTCATAATATACTGTACTGTAAAAAAAAAAAAGTTGTACTTTCACAATGCATTTGTACCTCTGAATTGACACAGTGCAAATTGTGAGCTATAGTAAAAATTGTGAGCTATAGTAATCATACAACAAACAAGGAATGCTTATTTTCTGCAATCATGTACATTGAGCCCCTTCTGGGCTCAATGGGGGCTTAAAATGAGCACAGGACCACAACCAAGTAAATGTATATAGTAACAGTACTAACAATCATTAGGCAGAGTAGCCATTTTAGATTATTTATGTTGAGAATTAGGGAAGTACCCAACCGTCTACATGGACAATGCAGAGCTGACTCTTTAGCTCTTAAGTCAATCACCTGAATTTAAAACGTTATATATCTAAAGTAAGATTCCACTATCAGTCCAGTGTGATATTGCAATCTCAGATGTGTCAGTTCTGGGAAGGTGCTTATTCCCAGGTAAGTAGGAAATGACTGGGTGTTTAGTGTACACTGTTTCTAGGAAAATGCA